TATTGGTTTTGGCGTATAATATTCGCAAATTGTTACGTATTACAATTTTGAATGGTCTGAAACTGAGATAACTGATAATTTAAATTTAGTACTTAGTGTTCCAAAACGCGACACTAATTTCTTGACGACCTAATAGTTACGTAACTTCTGGATTCTTAATATATATTACTAACCATCTCAATGCTGCATGGGCAGCTTGGACAAAATTTGTGGAATAACATTTTCAGTTTAGACAGTGCTTAACAGCTTATTACCAACTATGTAAAGTACTCCTTCTCACGAATTAAGAAGGCGATCATTTCCCTTCTTATAATTATGGTAAAATAAATCTATCGCATTGTCACTAAACGGATCTTAATTTTTAGGTAAGCCAACACTGAAATTGAATATAGTCTTTCACGAGAGCAGTAAATCCTTTTAACAACAGTTTGTTTAATGGCAGAGAGGAAAATTATATCATAATCAATGTACAAAATCTACAGTGGCATATGGCGGGAGATCAGTGCGAGGTTGCATCTCAGCCAATAGTGTCGATAATCTACACAAAATTTATGGCACCCTGACTGCTGATAAGTACAGCAGATTCTGTTCTATCATGTCATTCCCTCAGGAACACAATTAATCGGGCGATATTTAATCTTCTAGAAAGACATTGATTCCAAGCATACAGTAAATGTGTCAAAATAATAAATGTTGAATGCCAACAATTATGGTTTATCTGCACAAACTCATTGTATATATACATTCTCGAGTCTGTATGGGTTAATGTAAAAATTGAGGTCAAAAGGCGACCAGACAAATTGTTGGATTGTGGGGTGTAATACAGATATTTGGAACAATAGTTTACAGTTGTATGCTGACAAACTGTTTGTTTTGAATTTCTGCGCTAGCCGTTCCTAATTTAGCAGTGATAAACTAGAGAGAAGACAGCTAGTCACTACCGCCCACTGCCAACTTTTAGGTTAATATTTTACCAACAATAGTGGGGTTGTTGGGACTGGCCATTATAATATAACGCCCTCACAGCTGAAATGGCGAGCTGTTTAGTAGCATGAAAACAAGGTGTATTATTTTGTTTGTTGTTAAGCACAAAGCTACACAATGGGCTATCTGTGCTGTGCCCACCATGGGTATCGAAACCCGGATTTTAGCAATATAAGCCGTCAGACATACCGTTGAGTCAATGGGGAACAAATTCTCTTTGTAAAACAAAAGGATTACACACAACATACTATTAAGTTGTACAAATTAATCAAGTATCTTACGTATTCTCAGTCATAATATTTTCTACGATAAAAAAAATCAGCATCTAGTTGCCATTACTTGTTGTTTATGACTTCTGTATGCGTATTGTTTTTGTGTCTCCAAGACTGTTTCGATTATTGTATATCATGCCATAGCCTAAAATGCACCCTTGTTTTAGGTATATTACTAATACGCCATGCTGCACAAAGAAACTTCTAGTAAAAAATGGTGACCTTCATTACGATATATATTATCCGTTACTTAACTGTGTTCTCACATTCATGCAAGACTATACTGTCTAGTTCGACAATAGTGGCTAAATAATAGATGTTAACAAGCATGTAATACAATTATTTTAGTGTATTGAGTATACTGGTGGTTCAAACAAAAACCTTTACATCCGGTAGATTTGCCATTGTACCTTCCCACAGAATCATTTAAAAACATTTAATGCTGAATTATGAAAAGGGGAATTTTGAATCTGAACAGTACCCACATCTCATGGACTAAACGTCCAGGTATAATTGTCTCTAATTTTGTATTGAGCAGGAGGTAGTCCGGTAAAAACAAAGTAAGCTCATCAAGTTAAAGATAACTAATGATACATTTTTTCTTTACCCAAGAATTGTTTTATTTATTATATTGTTTAGATAAGCTATGTTCTAGTTTTATACAATTTATATAATTTAAGATTTTTTTTTCTACCACATCTATATCAGTATGCGACAAAGAAAGCAATTTTTACATGTAATGCTATTATTGGGGTCTTTTTAAAGAGCAGTTTCAAATTGAACAAATTAATTCAGAACTTTGATGTGGCAGAGTGAGAAAGCAAAAGATGGAAAATTAGTTAAAACAGTTAAAAAAATAAAACCTGGAAGTTATATTTTAATGTGGTTTATGAAAAGTAAACAAAATGCTATATCTACATATATATTTGTTTGTTTTGAATTTCGCGCAAAGCTACACGAGGGATATCTGCGCT